TGATAATGATAATGATGGCGATAATAATAATCACGATGACAATGATGATAATTATGATAATTATAGCTGATAATTATGATAATATATAAATATAATTATATAATTTTGTTATAAAAGTTGCTAGCCAAATTTATATGCTTAACATAGTTACAGAGGTACCTAATTAAGCCTCGAAAAAGAAATTCATTGTTTCTAAAATATTATCTTTTCATACATAATAAGAATTGTTCAAATGATTATCAGATGTAATGAAAATAATAATTGTTTTCAGCATGGAGTCTAGCAACAAGAGCCAAAAAAGAGATGATAAAGGTAACTATTAAATAATTATTTAAATCGTGTTTATAGAATTCTAATTAAATTTTTAATCATTTATCAATATTATTATAATTAAAATATCTATTATTTCTACTTTTGTTTTATAATTATTTTATTCTTTATATAGATAAAAAAACTTCTCAAGTTAGTCCCGTTAATGCGAGTAGTAGAAATTTGTGGGTATCCGGATTGTCTTCGAGTACTCGCGCTACTGATTTGAAACAAATATTTTCAAAATATGGGAAAGTAATAGGTGCAAAAGTAGTTACAAATGCAAGAACGCCAGGTGCAAGATGTTATGGCTATGTAACTATGTCCACTAGTGAAGATGCTGCAAAGTGTATACAACATTTACATAGAACTGAACTTCACGGACGTGTAATATCTGTAGAAAAGGTAAATAAAATCAAAAAAAATATTCCTATCTCTTAGACTATTTATACTTTTTTTTTTACATATACTTTTATATTATATAAAGGCCAAAGGTGATACTCAACAAAGTCATATGCGCAAACGAGATACTACGAATGGAAAATCTGAAAAGAAGGAAGAAAAAGAAAAGACAAAAGATAATCATGAGATTAACGATCGGAAAGATAAGGAAACGAAGAAAGAAACAGAAGATAAAGGAACAGAAGCAAGTGAGTGATTAAATAAATAATATATACAAAGATGTTTTATATATATATATATATTATAAAAGAAATATTTAAATATATTACAACAGTGAAAAAGTCGGACGAAAAAAGCAACGAAAACATTGAAAATAAGAAAGCAGAGGTGCAGGAAAAGAAAGATGAAGTTTCAAAAGATGCCGATTCTCGATCAACTAAATCTACTAGTAAAAAACCGGAAAGTGAAAGAGGAAGACGTGACGAAAAGAGAATTCGATCCTGGGATCATCATCGATCTCATACTCGATCTCGCAGCCGCGAACGGCGTAGACGCGATGATGTGTTAACTTTTGCAAAAATTAGGGTAAAAATCAATTATTATTAATTATTATTAATAAGGCATATATTTTAGTATTAATTATTTATTAGAATTATGAAGAGTATAATTTTTTATATATTTCCAGGAGGAACGAGAAAGACAAAGGCTACGAGAAAGGGAGAGGATGCTTCGTGAAGAAGAACGGAGAAGAAGAGAAGATATGGAGCGACAACGGGAAGTAGAACGTAGACAAAGAGAAGAAGCTGCACGATTAGAAAGAGAACGAGAAAAATTAAGAAGGGAAAGAGAAAGAATTGAGCAGGAGAGAGCTGAGTTACTTCGACTCGAACGGGAACGTCAAAAACTGGAGCGGGAAAAGCTGGAGCGAGAAAGATTGGAACTGAAAAGACAACAAATGCGATTAGAAGAGAGTAGACGTGCTCCGCCTCCACCGTCCATTAAACGATGTTCTAGCGATAGAAGGGATCCAAGAGACATATATGTTGAACCAGATAGAAAACGTATGGCCACTGAGCATAGTCGAAAACACATTCCAGAACGTGTAAGTGATCGTCGTGGTGAGATTTTAGATCGCGTCTCAGACAGACGATTAGACGCATCCCCGCCTACTCGCTACGAATCTAGTAGGTAAGATGCGTGTATGGTCCCTCGTATTCCCTCATTTTTGTGCAAATCGAAAGCGGAGAAGATACGAAAGAATCGTAAAATATTACAGATCCAGTCAAGATTTAGGGTTGAAAAAGGAATTCAAACGTAGTAGCGAGTTTACTTCCCGTAGTAGTCGTCCCGAAAGCTTTTCCGATGTATCCCGAGGAAGAGAAGTGATCGTACGTCGAGACACTCTTAGCACGACAGCAACGTCTATCGATCCTCGACAAGTTAAAGAAAGGTAATATAAAAAAAGATTAATTCATGTTTTTGTACAATATATATTTCGATTTTTTGAATAAAAAAAATTCATCGAAATATTTTTGTATAGATATGAACGTGCAAGTACTACTACTTATACTCGTGATCGCGATGTCAGGCGTTCTGATACAGATACACATAGAAGTTCTAGGGATAGTCATACGCGTTACAGTGAAAGTTTCAAACCTACTGGATCTAGTACTCCACGTTAGTATAAAAGAATTCATATGATTTTAGAAAATTGTTTGATTAAAATTTTTTTTGATCTCAACATTTTTTATACATATAGGTGATAGTCGTTATGTTGAAAGCAATCGAACAACTAGTAGTTGGCATTCTGGACCTTCATCTACAAAATCATTTAATTCTGTACCTAGTAGCGGAACTCGAGATCCTCGAAACGAACCGTCTAGTTGGAGTTCTAGATCTTCCGATAATGTAAACAGGTACACATCAATCTCTTTGTAAAATAAATTTTATATTTGATTCGCAAATAAGATCGATTAAATAAATGAATTTATTTCAGATGGAGTAATTCAAGCAGTATGGGAAACACGTTACGACATCCAGTTCCACCTACGTATCAAAGTGGTCCTATTCAATCAATGGGATTAACTGCACCCGGGACAGCACCTTCATACGATCGTTTTGATCCATATAAATCATCTATGCCGAGCATGAGAAAATATTGATCGTATATTGCTGATTTTTACCATTATAACGAATAATTGGTGAATTTTTATATCCACCTGTTTCTGACGCTAGCACACACACGCGCGCCCATACTTACTCTCACATATGCACACGCACACTAAATTATTTATATTATTGACAAATCAATTTTCATTATATTTCAGCAATTAATCGTATACGTAAATTCCGATTGTAATGTGATCGTATGCAATTGATAGACAAATTGTGATTCAAGAAAAGCCCAAATAATTCCTTGTTGATGAGTGGCGTATACGTATATCTTAAATCTCTTTCAATATTTGTATTCAAGTTGCTATCCTTAAATTAAGTTTTAAATGAATTAAACCGAATTGAACGTCTCACTCCCGATACTCATCCAAGCAGTCTACTCATCTAAGCGATTATGATTACGATTTTTGAGTTTTTGATGTCATTCAATTTCTGTAAAAATTTCATATCATCTTTCCCAATCTTTTTTACATTTAATGATCTAAAAATAATAAAAATAGTAGTATTATTATTATTACTATTATTATTCTAATTATCATTATTATTATCATTGCTTACTATTAGTACTACTATTACTATTATTATTACTATTACTACTTCTACTATTGCTATTATCACTACTGCTACTTCTATTACTATCTCAATTATTATTACACTACCATTATTACTGCTGCTATTGTTACAAATAAATACTTTAGTGATATTCATCGCGATGAATGTAAACATATGGTATGATCTATACACGATATACAGTGTATATATCATACTGAAATATAATGGATTTTTGTACATTTGTTAATAGACACGATATAGAGATCTAGAGAGAGACGCTCGAAATGGGGCAAACTTTTACTCGTTTGTCTACAGCGCAACTACATTTATATAATGCGTTGTATCAATTGTTATTTGCAACTTATTTCAATCAATGACGCGCATTCATTTACATCGTTGGATGTATTCTTATAGAATAAGACATACAGAATAGTGTTATAAACAGTTACATCGTGTACCTTTAACAGATTCCTTGTAGAAATACGTACATATTCTCATAAGGATATGACTGAACAATTTGTATATTGAATTTCACAAGACAGAACAATGTATCTAATGATGTTGGAATTTAGGTTCATACTTGAAGCACACGTACTATGTTTCAGTATAGCGACAATTACTTCAATATAAATAAATTTATGGTATATTAGAATAATTTGTTTTGATATATCTGTAATTTTATATTTTAATGATTTTTGCCAATTTTGTTTATTTGATTCCAGTTCATTATTTAATTTTTATTTCATCGATAAAAGAAGAAATTAATCAAGAGGATAAGCATACTATACAGCAACTGTGAACTAAAATAAAAAGACAACTTCAGATATATGAGAATTAAAGCATTCAAAAATTCAAATATATAAAATTTAGATATTTGGGGATTCAGATATTTATAGCGAGATAAATTGCTACATTCGCAAATGTATATTTTTGGCACACTATTGTATCGTTGAGTGAAAAGAGAACGAATAGAAATACACGATAGAGAGAACACTTTCCCTCAGTTGAATGAGTCAAGGATGGTAGTTACTGTGAAAGAAGAAAAGAGAAAAGATTGAGGGAATGGGAAAGAGTGAGGGAATCATTTCATCGAGAACAAAGTATGTCGAGGTCTTTTCACGGACAGTCATCCTAATTGAGATTTACCCCATGTATAGTGATGATTGCACGATTCCGATGGTTTCCTTCCTCCTTTTTAATTTTTTTATTTATCCCCCTCTTTTTTTTATTTCTCCTTCTTTTCCTCCATCTTCTCTCTTTCTCGTTTACATACATGATCCTTTCTCTTGTTTTCTCTACCTTATTTCCGCCCCCCCTCTTTCTTGTCAGCTCCCACCTTTCAGTCAAAACTCAATAGACGATGGACAATTCGCCGGTAGTCTCGCGAACGCGATAACTTTGTTGAAATAGTTGAACGTTGTATGCCCGATCGCGAATAATAAGTGTTGTAATATAATCGTGATAAAAACCGTGTGGTATGTGAAAAAGATCGGTTGAATGTTTTCTCTGGATCAGGATGTCATCGTCCACTGTTTTGAGTAAGTGATTCAAATCGATTTATATGGTTTACGCGCGCTTTCATACAATTTTATGAATGATATTTATTTATTATTCATTTTTAATATTTGCATCATCGATAAAAAAATGGGAAAAATACAATAGACCATGTTTGAAAGTTCCAATTCTATTCATTTTCCGCGCTACTTAAATGAAAAATCAAGGATGTTGATTCGTACTGCCTCGTGATTTAGGCGCGAAAACTTTAAATCATTATATTCAATTTTTTACATATTTTCAAATTTAAAATTATTTTTTTATTTTCTAATTATATATATAACATATATATATATTATTTTATGCGTTTCCTTTCATTAAATTATATTTCGTTTATTGTTATTGATTTTCAATGTTACATTATTAATAATTGACATCTATATCGTACAGCCCATATGATGCGGGTTAAATCGGTTTAAATACAAGAACAAGATAAGACATATTGCACATTCAAAATAAATAAGATGAGAATAAACATTGAATTACGAAAGAATGATATTCCCAACTCATCAATTGAAAGTAAAGGTAATGTTAACTATACAATTGGAAAGAGAATAGCATAATTTTTCACGAGGCAAAAAAAAAAATAACAATGATGGATGATTTTTAACGGATTAAAAGTATAATCATTGTATTCTCACTCAACAATAGATTTAATTTATCACTAAACTTACTATTATTTATTGCTTCATTGCTGTATATATATAACTAGATGATGAATCAGTGAATGGAAGAAAGGTGCGCTTTCTCGCCAAGCAACTTTCACCATCGATGAAGTCCGTGTGCGTAGACAGATTCCAAAAATGTTCGCTTGATCGTTCGCTTTCTTTTATTCTCTTCTTGAGAAAGAAGATTGAGAAGGAAGTGTATATCGTTCTTAACGAAACGCATTTTTTCAGATTTTTGAGGTTTTTTTATTCTTCAGTGAACAAAGGTCAATACTTGCACGTAATATTTTAAAATAAATTCAAACATGATAAACTCGCGAAATTGAAAAAGTTTCACCGATGGTTTCGTTACGCTTCCGATTCGATTTCACGGAGAATTGAATTACTTCTCATATGCTAACACGCTTTTTCTATCGATTTTACTTTTAGTCTCGCGATAGATACTCGAGAAATCGTGTTAATAGGTTATTAACATAAAAAAGGAAATAAAAATTTAATTCATCGAATATAATAAAGCACGATTCGAAAAGTTTTTGAATATTGTAATAATCAATTAGCGATGATGATCTTAACATTTGTCAATAATATCGAATGCTATATTTCAAAAAGTAATACGAGTAATATACCTAATTATATAGTAATTATATAGTAATTATAATACTTAGATTCGCTTTGACATATCATAAATGGAGAATCGCTAATTTTCCAGAATGATTTTTAAGTAATAATTATTTTGCCTGTAGTTGTTCCACAATTACCTGAAATCGGTAATAATCTTCATCATTTTTAGTTCTATATGATTTAAATTGCGATCTACTTACACATCTTTTAATTTGTAGTTTTATTCTTTATGGAAGAAAAAAGGAAGATCGATTTCGGAATAATCGATGATTAGAGATACGCTCTATTCCATGCTGCTTGATGTACTTGAATGTTTCAGAATTGTGCATAATATGGAGTTTGCTAACGAGTTCCTGGTCATACACCGAAGAAATCACTCATTATCGTTATCATTCAGGTAAGTAAATCTCATCGTTAATCTGTTTCATTAAACGCTGATTAATTCAATCGGGTATTCAATCAAATCTTATATGTTATATGTAATATTATAATAATATGCGTGCGATATAAACGATACAGCATCAAACAAATTTGGAACATCTCAGACATTTATAACACCGATAAAAAGATGGAGAGAACCAGATAGATGGGATAATAGTGATCCACAAAGATTGGGTCCACCAATTTTTCGAAAAAATATGCATATCAGACCTTACGTAAGATTAGCGAAAGTTGAAGAAAAACGAGAACAGCCGGATCCTCTGGTTACGATTACCGAAACTTTGGGTGCCTTAAATACTGTCGGGAGTTATATCGTTAATATGACCAGAGGAGTAGAGAACTCAAATTATCCACCAAAAGAATTACCATCAGCTATATACACTATTTCAAAGAATATTTTAGGTAAGATTTTGATAAAATTCAACTCTTCTTTTTCCAGAATTTATAAATCTTGCATAGTTTAATTATATTTTTTTTTAGGACGCAATGTAACAGATAGTATTGCACCGCTAGTCCGAGGTGTAGCTTTACCTCTACGACCTATACCGACCGAAAGTTCCTCTGTCTCTTCTGTTTCTTCTTCTCCTGCAGAGATTAATCAAAACACTAGAGAAAAAGAATCAGTGATATCGTCGGTCGATTGTACTACAGCAGAAGGCAATCTTGGAAAATGTCAGGATTTAAGTAACTGTCCTCAATTGTTGCTCGATTTGACCAAACTCAGACAATCATTATGCTTTAAAAGTTTATTTGTTCCGGGCGTTTGTTGCCCATTGACCGATAAAGTCGACAATAATGGAACTAGGTAAATTCAACAACAATAGTTTCGTTATGATTTGTTATAGCAAGATCGTTCATAACCTAAAAAAAATATGTATGAATTTTCAGCTCGATAGCCGGTATAATTCCAGCACCAGGAATCGAGCCACCTATACATTCTCCATCGAGACCACCAGTCCGACCAACGAAGCCACATCAAACTCCTCGACCCATTCCATTGTTTCCTGTCATTACAACTGGTAGCACGATTACAATTACTATAGAATTACAGAATTTACAATTACGACTACTACTTACTGTAGAATTCGTTTCAGTATCTCCTATCAATCCATCGGTGAATCATTCAACTAATTTCTTTGGATCTTCAACATCCGGCAGCACTATTGATAATAATTTTATACAAAACGATGAAGGTAAACAAATATAAAAATATAAAATACATACATGTAGAAATGAATAAGCAATAGCAACAACTAAATTGTTGATAAATTCTTGTGGTAGAATGTGGAGTAAGAAACTCGGGTAAATATCGAGTAGTTGGCGGAGAAGAAGCTCTTCCAGGACGTTGGCCTTGGATGGCAGCGATTTTTTTACATGGCTCTAAACGCACAGAATTTTGGTGTGGTGGATCTTTGATTGGATCGCGATACATTTTAACTGCGGCTCATTGTACACGCGACCACCGTCAACGGCCGTAAGTTACTCGTTCGTAAGTAAATGTTTTCAAAACTTTTACATAAGAAGAAATAAAATGACGATTTTCGAACTTTCGAACAGATTTGCTGCTAAACAATTCACTGTACGTCTTGGAGACATAGATCTTGAAAGGAATGACGAACCATCCGCGCCAGAAACTTACTTGGTTAAACAAATTCATGCACATCCAAAATTCTCTCGTGTTGGATTTTATAATGATATTGCAGTTTTGGAGTTGACGAGGACTGTTCGAAAATCTCCTTATGTAATACCGATTTGTTTACCACAAGCACATTATCGGAATGAACGATTTGCTGGTGCTAGACCAACCGTTGTTGGATGGGGTACTACCTATTATGGTATATATATATATATTTTTTTTTTCTATTCCTTTTACTTTTGTTCATATTCAATTCACATTCATTTTTTTCTATTATTTCTATTTCTTATTTTCTCAAAATATTTTTAAGAATTAAAAAATTATTATATGATTTCTTTCAATAGGTGGAAAAGAAAGCACGGTACAGCGGCAAGCAGTGCTTCCAGTATGGAGAAACGAAGATTGCAATGCAGCTTATTTTCAACCAATTACCAGTAATTTTCTTTGTGCTGGTTATAGTCAAGGCGGCAAAGATGCTTGTCAAGGTGATTCCGGTGGTCCACTTATGCTTAGAGCAGATGGTAAATGGATTCAAATCGGTATTGTCTCGTTTGGTAATAAATGTGGAGAACCAGGATATCCGGGAGTATATACGCGTGTTACTGAATACGTAGACTGGATTAAAAATAATTTGAATTAAGCATGAGCAATTTTTATCTTAATTGATTTGTATTTCCGACTTCGGATGACATGATTCTTATTCGGTAATACAATATCATTTGTAAGTATATTATGTGAGTGCCAAGAATCTTAATTTATACATTACCTCTTTATATTATATGCACTAGCGTAACTAGAATAATTGCACATATATTTGTGCAATCATACAAATTTGTAAATTATATTATAATAATTGTACATACGCGCGCACACTTATATATGCAAATATACGTAATTTAATAAATTAAATTTATTTACTTATTAGCAATAGTAACAAATATTACCTATACGAATGCGGCTGTAAACTCTCAATTATTTGTTCCTCAATTGTTTTAATTTCAAGAAATCGTTTACCTATGGCTATCTATCGTTCGTTTATTCATTTAAAATTACATAATTCGTTTAATTACAATGTATTTTACATTTAATCCTTGGCTCTTATAACAAAAAGACGACCAACGATTTAGAAATCTTTGATATTTCAGAATGAAAACTAAAAGTAACTCAGTTCCAAATTTCAAAAGTTTCGTCGAACAAATGATCGATGGAGCGCTAAAAAATAATGGTTAGTGTAATAATTAACGTTCATTTTATTATTGTATACTACATACATTTAAAATATCCTGCATAGATCAAATTGTACAATTTCATCAAATGATTTATGAGAAGTGGAATTTCAAGAAATTATTGGAATTAGAAAATGCTAACTATAAACAAAATGAAGAATCTTTAGAATCGAAAGAGGTATCAATTGTTAAATAAAAATTTTGTAGTTAGTATTAATTGTACTATTTACGTTTCAAATTTTAGAATATATCAGCAACGGTAGCGCATCGTAGATCGCGTCGCTATAAATATAAGCGAACTTCGGTAACGATTTTCCATAAAATGCCTAGTCAAAAAGATGTGTCAGAAATAAGACAAACACCAAACTTCGTTTCGATTAACAATAAGGAATTTACTAATGAAAAAGAGGATTTGAATAAACTAGATGACATTAATCTTTCTCCTATCATTGGTGATACTAAAGTTATTGAACTTTGGAGCAACTCGACAAACCGCGCAGCAGATAAATTACAAATTGCAACAAACAACGTTTCTTTGGTTGACTGTGATCATATGCATGGGTTATTATTCTATTTATAAAAAATCAAATTTCGTCAAATTTATTGAATTTAGAGAATAGTTTGCAACATATACTTGTTTGCTTAAAAAATAAAATATAGATTAGCAAGTCAGCGACAAAATGAAAAAAAACTATCCTTTGAAGCTTGGAAAAATAAGAAAACTATCACATATAAACGAATACTTAAAAAAATAGAAACTGAAAAACAGCAAAAATTACTTGAAAATTTAACAAATACAAAATGGAAAAAAATTGCTCAACAGGTTTGTTATATTATTATAATTAATTTCTCGACTTTCTTTCAAATACTTCATATTCTTTAATAATTTTAATCTAATTTTTTTTTTCACTTGTTAAGGCGCAAATACGCAAGGAAAATAAAAATCGGCGAAAACAAAAGTTACTTTCTAAAAAATATTTTGAAATGAATAATTGTAACGTAAAGTCTAATTGTAATAAAATGAATGAAAAACAAATTATTGAAGAATTTATTTCAAATTCATTTGGAGAAGAAAAGAATATGAAATTACATAAAGAAAAGAAAAATGAATCAAATATTGTGCGGTAAAATCTTTTAAATGTATTTTATATAACTTTCATTATATAAAAAAAAAGAAAAATAAGAAATTGTTTTCATAATTTTCAGAGGATCAAGCAACAATCCTAACAACGATAGAAAAAATAGAGTGTCTTCAATGATTAATTCTATTGAAAGTATTGTATTTTGTTCTTGGTTAAATCAATTGAATTGCGCACTTCATAACAAATATTTACGTGAACGTCGACATCTTGTACGATCGTTTTATTGTCAACCTTTCTATTATGGAGATGAAAAGTTTTATATCAGATAAGTACTTACAATTGTAAGTATATATATATATGAGAAATTATCTCTATCTCGATCGCTTCTAAAAAAATATGTAAATAAAATTACATACATAGAATTCCTAATATCAGGATCAGTAAAAAAATAAAATATATTAAATAGCGATAATTCACTTTATAAATGCGACATATTTTGTATACTTATAGTAGTTATAATAATAACTGATCAAATAAAATAACAATTTTGAATAAATTTTCATATTTGATTTAATTAACATATTTATTTTATAGCCTTATTTCTTCTAAGATTTTATTCAATTAATGAAAAAATAATAAAAAATTTAAATTTAAATCCAATAATGATTCCAACAATTAAATCAAATAGTTTTATTTATACTTTATATGTTTGTATATTCTTTTATATTCACCGACAGTAATTATATTGTAATATTCAAATTGCATATATTGAATATTATTTGCACTAAATTATTATATTTCTAAATTTCGAAAATATTATTTTTATTATTAAATATAAATTCAAAAATATGTATATGTATGAAATTTAAAATATGTATACATAAATATTTTTTTATTTTTTTATATTTTAAAATATTTTCCAATACTATATTTTGCTTCTTTTCAAATAAATTATAATTTTTTTGA